CATACGGGTAGGTACCTTCAAGGGTTCAGGTTCCTTCGAGTCGCCGATACAGAGTAACCGCGACCAGCATCCGTTACAGACGGAATAGGTCTGTCTTCAAGACACTTGTAGTAATGGAGGGCCAAGCTCTTGATAGACCACAGACATCCTATAGTGTGCCAAGAAGTCGCTACCTAGAAGGATAGGGTGAACACACGCCTTCACCACCAAAAATACCATAGGTACCACGATATCAGGAGGGAGGTCTGGACCCGGCGGCGGGGGGTCTGCCTCCGGTAAACAAGGATTATCTAAGTTAGTCGAATCGTACAAGGACAGAGTAAGGGCGACAGCTCCTAGCAAATCGAAGCTATGACCCTGTGCAGAAATAAGTTCAAGTCCACGAACAGGTTGTATCTTGGCACCAGCCGGGACACAACGTTCGTCTAATAAAGTATAACAGCTACCAGTATCAACTAGAGCGTGGCAAGGACCTCGAGCGGCCTTGTCAGATGAAATATCGGCGTAGAGAAAGTTGCCATAAGACCCGCCGAAAGTCTCAAGGGCAAATGGTATTGGCGATCGAGGGCCGCTTATCGACCGCCTTGGGGGTTTCCCAGCGGTAAGGGGGAACCTCCAGGGGGCTTAGAGGCCTTATTACGGATCACCTTATTCGGGTTCTGGTAACAATCTCTAGCCAAGTGACCAGTCTTGCCGCACCAGTAGCAACCTTCCGAGAACTTCTTGTTAGGGCAGTAGTAGGTCGGATGATCCTGGGCCTTGCAGATACCGCAGTTTCTAGGCCGAGTAAGGGCCACAGTAGAGGTGACATTAATATCGGGTTGTTGTTTAGGACCATCACTCTTGCTTCTCATACCACCCAGAATCCTGTCGAGCTTCTGTTCGATACGCTTGGCATCAGCTTTCGTGAGCGTATCCGCCGAGTCATCGGCCGGTTGACTACCGAAAACACCAGCGGCTGTGGCAACCTTAGCCGGTGTCTCGACCATGGTGTTGGAGTTAGCGTCGTCAAGGGCAAGAACGCTGTCACACATTATACAGGCCTCCTTGAGGTTCTTAGGCTCTTTCAAGAGGAGCTGGAACCGGACCATGGGGGGTAGATCTGCTTTCAGTCGGTCAATGATCATCTCCTCCATGTTCTTAGTCCTGTCCGCTTCAGAGAGCTCGGGGAACTTCTCCTTGGTATAGTACCGGTTGAGGTGTCGTTGTAGAGCTGCAGCATAGAGAGCGGGGTGCTGACCTTTAGACCAGCGTAGCTCTTGGAACTGTTTCAGGGCTTGGTGGGGACGGACATGATCAAATATCTTCAGGAGGGACTTCTTGTCTTCCTCGAAGTTCACCTTCTTAGCATAAGCATCCCAACCAGAGAGAAAGGGTTCCTTCAAGTACAGACCAAGGCGTTCTGCCTGCTGTTGAGTGGACCATCCGGCGGCAAGGGCACATTGCTCATAACGTCTTAGCCAATCCTTAAAGCTACCGGAGATACCATCGAAAGCAGGGGGCATCGAGAGACTAATCCTCAAGGGGGCGGCTTCATCAACCTGGGGGCGATTATCACCAGTATTATTCGTCATTGGGCTCGTCGTCGATCAACAAGGAGCTGCTACCAGAATGTTGTGCCTGTTACTGGGCAACACAACTAGTAGCCAGACTTCAGTGGATAGCGTAGTCGAACTTCACAACAAGGGCAGACCTTCGAGGAAGGGCAGCCGAGTGAGAAGGATCAAAAAGGAGTTGTAACTCTACTTATCCTTAGTTCATGATCACACAGTGCGCATACGTGCATAGCGCGATCGATGGCGAGCGAATATAAGTGATCAGACGATAACGATTACAAGGGCGAGCGCGTAGGGCGCGATCCCTACAATATTAATATGAAGAATTCTTCAATCACTACCTTCTTGTCTATTTCGATATGACAATAGTCTTGAGTTTGACTTTCATCTTAATCAACGTTTGAAGTCGGACCGGTCGTCCTCTAATATTTAATGTCATCATCGCCGCCTTCGGATACCCCCTCTGGATTACCCGATAGCGAAGGGTCAGTTCATATTACCAGTGATGATGCTGATGACAATATGACAACATCGGATGAAGGGATGGAGTCTTCACAGGAAGCTCACACTGATGATGACGATGGTGACGACTCTGGGGTGTTGGCTGGGCTTGCGGAATTCATAGTGATGGTATTAGGATTTAGTATGAATGCCGCTGCTGCTGTTTCCTCCTGTTGGTGATACACATTGCATGCTTCGACTGGCATTTCATAGGTACTCATGAGCAGCAGCAACAGCGGCAAGAGGAAGAGGTGGCAGGAGCAGTAGTGGAGGAGGCGGTTGTTGATGATGAGGAAGACGACGACGACCACCATGGTGGGTTATGTAGTCTGATATAATACTCATAGTCCGTAACAGTACTCTCCCTTATATGAGCTTGAATTACATACCTCCAAGCCGCGAGTATTATTCGAACAATTACCGGCCGGGTGAATCGTATCAACGTCTTCAAAGGGTTATTGTAACAGTCATGCTGTTCTTTAGACCAGCCTGCTGCAGAAGGTGGGGATGATGATGAGCAGCAGGAGGAGGAGATGGCGATGTTCGATGACCTCATGGAAGCGGCACTCGATGATGTAGATCATTACCATCTGGATGTTATCGATATCGTCTCTTTGCAGTCAGTGAGGCATGAACAACAGGAGGAGGGAGTGGCGGCTGTAGAGGTACCATCCGAGCAGAAGGAAGTAATGGTGGTGTGGTATGGCATAGTAGCGGTAGTGGTAATATCATAGGCACCAGCAGAGGATGTAGAGCTACAGCACAATGAGCAGATCGGGGGTGATGGTGCTGTCGAGGTACAGGTGAGCGTTGTTCCGTCTGGTATGTAGTAGTTCATTATCATCCAGGCTACTCCTGTCCTGGCCACTGCTACCTCCTCTAGTGACGCTGCTACATCTGAGAGCGACCAACAGGAAACGGTGACGGGCTCGACGACAGAGTAATGTTTCGGGAGTATCTGGTGTACGGTAGAGGGCTGGTCGGCTCACCTTTGACGGGTTCACCCACTACAGTATGTGGTCATTGCTTTGGTGTGTTTAGAGTATCCCGACTTACACGAGAGTTGTTAGTTTTGACAAGACAACTGGGAGAGCTACAGTCGGAGAAGCTCTCTCTACAATGTCAGCTATCCGATGCTAATAGTAGGGGGGGGAAGGTCCTCACCTGATGTTGGATGGTATGCTCTGTAGGTCGGCTGCGACCATTAGAGTATGATAATCAATCATTGCAAGCAGAGACGAAAAGGTTAGGATCTAAGGTGGAGGAGTTGTGGCAGTTAGTAGAGCATGCTACGACGGATAAAGAGAGGACTCTTACTGAAATGCAGAAGACGAGGTGATTATCATACTAGCGCCAAAGGGTTCGATGATGGAGTATAATATCAGTCTTCGTACTCATCCCCATTGTGAACTCTTATGATATAGGACACTGATCACGGAGTGAATCCCGGGAATAATCTACCGTCTACTACAGTGTGGGGTTCCTGCATAGACTACATAGGGGGTATATACTCTCAGGAATTGTTGTTGGTAATCGCTGAGTAGTATCGGTCGGTGAAGCTACTGTACATAAGCGTTATGATCGATGCACGGAGGTTTCATCTGCTCTGTATACGGGGTTCCTCGATCAGACTGGATCACAGTACACAACTGTCTGGGATGAAGAGCCGTTTGGAGAATGCTGAGGCGGAGTGTCGACGTCTTACTAAGTTACATGAGAATTCAGAGAGGAAGTAAGTCGTTTCTGAGGTCCGAGGCCTACATAGGGGTTGGACAACAGGTTGGAGGATACAGTGAAGGATTTGGCCTCGGCAAGGGAGAGCGGCGCGAGTGAAAAGTCTAGTCTAGAGGGTATCATCAGCTTGAAACAGCAAATGGTGTGTAATCTGGAAGAACAGCTGAAAACGCAGAGTGGGGAACTGGCTGAGACCAAGCAGGAGTTGAATAATGTAATGATATGTGAATGGGTTAGGTTGGAGACCTGTGCTTATTAGACGTTATGTTCGTTGTCGGTGGCGCGAGGAAAGGTTGAAACGGTGGAGAAGGAGAGAGCAGCGTTGGTGAAAGAGAGAGACGCATTGAAGGAGGAGAAGGAAAAGTATCTTAGAGAGAAGGCAAGCGGCAAGGGACGAGTGAGATTTGGAATATGTCTCTATTCAGATTGCTGTTAATACATCTACTATGGAAGAGGGGGGCCGGCAACGGCGTTCGATCACGGACATTGCTGGTGAAGTTCTCGGAGTTGAAGGTGGGTTGGTAGACAGTTAGTGATTGTAGAGGAAACTGTTTTGGGTTGCTTGTTAGCTCTACCACAAGGAGGGTTCCCTCTATCGGCATTGGTTGATGCATTGATGACGGCTAGGGATGAAGCTACTGAGCTGAGGAAAGCCAATGCGTGAGACCTCCCACTGGACATGTTTTGTATCTAGCATGCTTCAACCTTGGATATGTTCAGGCATTTGGAGGACGTTTTGGATGAGATCAATGCCCACGTTGAAGCAAAGGCGCCCGAGATAGACGCCATCCAACGTCAGAATGATGATCTTGTTGTGAAACTCCAAGATGCAAGTAAGGGTGTCATACACGTACATAGTAGTGGATTATTGGTTGACTCAGATGAGAAGATAGAGATAGGTAACGCTCGATTGAGGGAGACTAAGGACAAGTAAGATGAATTTCGCGAAGGTGTGGTATGAGCTATTTAGTGTCTTATTCAACTTGGAATTCGTATCGAATATCAACGTCCTTAGATTGAACAGCGAGTCCCATGCACGTCGACAGATGGAGGCCAGCGTGTCTAGTCTGAGGTTGCAGTTGCAGGAGCAGGTCAATCAAACATCGGTGTTGTTGCATGAGGTAGAAGTTATGAAGAGTAGTGGGAGTCGAGGAGGAGTTATGAAGAGGAAGAGAATGTAATATCGGGGTCGGATATGAGGAGCGAGCGAAGCGAGCGGAGCATATACCGCAACAACAGGAACTTTCGCGTTGTGCGTGCGTGCAGAATTATTCTGGCTTAACTACGATGCGTAGGAGGCCATTATATGGATCAAATGACTGCTCTATATGCTGAGGCTTTCGTCCAAATCGAAAAACTCGATTATGCGAACAGCTCGACGAGATATACACGAAAACCTATAATGACGGAAAAATGTCCAATCCGGAGATCGAACCGGGGGCCTATGTCTAGTTCATTGATCGAATCAATAGACTTATATGAAGTCCCTTCGTCACGAAGGCCTAGTAGAAGAATTAGTGGACAAGGCTCCCCTGAGAAGTTGGCTTTCGTGTCAAAACCTGACTTGTTTTCAAAATAGTTTTGGTAACCGGAAGGCCTTGACTGGTCGTTAGGGATGATACGCTGATTTAGTTGATACATGTTCGGGTCATTGAAAGAGAGCACGTCTAGAGGGAGAGCTCATGCATTACTGATGTATGTGGATTCACTATGATCATAATCATAATCATCAGGTCATCGATATCGTCGCCGTCATCGTCTCCGAGTGAGGCGGGGGCTGTCCCTGTCGTAGAGGGATCATCACCAGTCACCTTTATGACGGTAGCAGAGCTGGTAAGTGATGATGCTACTACTGCTGGTGGTGGTGCTCATGCGGAGTCGTATTGGGGTGTGTAGGTATCACAGAATACATCATTGAAGGCATCAGTAGCTAGGTTACGGAATGAATGTGAGATTGAGGCTCAGAAGGAGCTAGCTCAGTTGAGGCTAGACTGGCAGAAGCTGGATGAAGCCTATAAGGATCTGTAATAGGGGAAGAGGGGGAATCCTTGTGTGTCGAGTCATACCTCCTAACATGCCATGTTGGGGCTGTCGTCTTTGTGGGGGGTGTTACTTGGTGTCACTTGTATTGGGGTATGTATGGTATGATATGTTCGTGGAGGTAATTTTGTGGCGCGTGACGGAGTTTTTTGTCCTTGTCCAGTGCGAAGGCTCGTGAATCTGACCGGGCGACATATGAAGGCCTTCTTTCCCGGGCTGATAAAGAGAAGAGAGAGCTGATGCAGAACATTGAGGAGATGAGGAAATCTCTACAGGACTTGTCAGCAGCACAAGCTGATGGTATGTGGCAGCAGTTGGACCTACTTTGCATCTTCCTGTTCGACCTGAAGATATCATCCTTCAGGGACTGGTGATGCAGGAGCGGGCGCTGTGAGCTCCCCTTCCCGAGGAGCCTCCAATGCTGCTGAGGGAAAGATCAGTTTACTACAAGACAAGTTGGAGACGGTGAAAACTGAATCACAGAAACGTGGGCAATTCGTTTGGGCTATGGGGTTCACCTTGGATGTTCGTTTTCAGAGATCGACTTGCTACGACAAGAAAGTCTAACGTTGAGGGAGGAGAATAGGAAGCTCAGCACGGAGAGTATACGCCTAAAGACGATGTTGCAACTAGAGAAGGATAGGAAGGTAGCAGTTGTTGTGGTGAATTACATACCACTTCTTCCGCACATCGTCTACGTTAGTCGGTGATCTCTGAGGCCATGTCGGAGTTGAGAGCATCTTTGAAGAGGGTGGAGGACGATGCACGGGCGACTGAGAAGAGGAGTGCATCTTTAGCGGCGCAGAATGCCACATTGGAAGGCTCTGTTAAAACAGTATGTCGGTTCCGGACCTCTTTTGCATCTTTCTAAGTGGACCTAAGATTCTACTTAGGTAGTGCACGAGCGTTCGATAGCACTGAGGGAGAAGTCAGAGGCGTTGGAGAAGATGCACAGTGCACAAGCTCGAGTGGAAGTTGTAGGAATAGCCTTTTGGTTGACCGTGGAAGATACGGAATAGCATAGTTTAATCTTTCCTCAGTTCAGCGAGCAATTGCAAGCTGTGTTGGGAGAGAAGGCCAAGATTGCTAGCCTTTTGGTGGAGACCCAACAGCGTAAGGATAAGAGTGTCAGGTGTGGGACTCGAACCTGGGTCGTCTGGTTGTTAGGGGTGTCTGAGGAGACCCAGAGCGCGAGAGAGATGGCGAGGGAGCAGACAGAGAAGGTCCTTCATGAGATGGAAGAGTTGAAGAACAAGTAGGATGGAATCTTCGCTGTGCGCAGCAGAGTATCTTTGGTACATCGATCTCAGTCTTGTGTTTTATCGTTCGGCATATGAGGAGCAGAGCTCTACTTTAAGCTCTTCGAAGGAGTCCATTAAGCGGTTAGAAGAGGTAAGGCTTGTTGCTGTTGGTGCGAAGGTGATACATGGTGCACGGAATTTAGGAAGCATCAAAGTTTGCTGATGAAAGACGGGGTTGGATTACAGAGAAGCAGTCGTTGATTGATAAGATTAAGCTGTATAAGGTGGGATACTAGGCAAACCCGACTTCGCTCCGCTGTGGATTCCTCTTGCAGAGTCGGGCTTCTATCGGGTCTTCTGCTTCTTCTCCTCCGCCTGTTGGTGCTGCGGGTGAGTCGGCATCTAGTAGCTCCACCGGAAGGCAACAGCTCGAGAGGATGCTGAGTGTGGCGAGGGCTGAGGTTGAGGCACAGAAGTCTAGCAGTGAGGTAAGGTATTCACTATGGTAGCTGTTGAGGAGTGAGGGCTGTGGACGGAGGAGGAGGAGGTTTTGAGGGGATTGAAATTGTGGTGTCTTTTAGGTGCTGCAGAGGGCTGTTAAGAGTTTGGAGGATCAGATCAAGAATAGTGATGAGAAGAGTAGATAATGGGATGCGCGTGCGTGCATCATACTAGCACTCTGTTGCTCTCAGTTGGGAAGTTGACAGCTGATCTGAACGCAAAGGAGGCGGAGTTGACGGCAGCTCGAACGGCTGTACAGAACGCAGAGAAGAAGATAGAGGAGTTCGAATCTAAGGTTAGAAATTTGAAGATTCTTATTCCCTTGTGAAATTTGCTGTAGGGTGGTCTGGCACGTAGCGATGCTGAAGCACTACGGGAGCAAATACATAATCTGGAGGAAGATCTGAAGCAGGCTAAGGTATGTGAGCTGGAGGTATCGGGTTCGAATCCCGGAAGATGCATTTGTCTTAGGGCGAAATCGAGTTGGCGAACGCGAAGGCTGTGGAGGCTGGCAATGCGTTGAAGGATGCTAAGCAGGAGTACACTAGAGAGTTCATTAAGAGAGGGAAGGAGGCAGAGCAGTTGGTAGCAGCTAGACAGGAGGGGGAGAAGGCTGTAGAGGATATGAAGAGGGATATTGAAGAGCTCGAGGGTAAATTGAAGGAGAAGGATGAGGCTCATGCTGAGACTAAGAGGCAGCTTAGTGCAGCAGAAGAGATGGTTACACAAAGTGAACAACGTATCAAGGCATTGGCAGAAGAGAATGATAAGTAAGGTATAGGGAGGAGGCGTCACTGATGATGATGATCATCTGTTCATCATCATGGGCAAATGGGATGATCTCGATTATTTATTGTGTGATAACGAGTTTCCAAGATACCAAACTTTGTTCACATCGTCATCATCATCGTCGAAGAAGACTGAGGACAGCACAACAGGATCACCGACCCATAACGAGATTGGCAAGCTGAAGGCTCTATTGCAGCAAGTGAATGAAAGCAAGAAGCTCCTCATTGCGAGAGAACAGGAAGCGGTGAGTTGAGGAAATGTAAGATTTGTCAAGACTGCAAGATGCCCGTGTAGCTCCTGGAGTGCTCTCGGCATAAGACGAGGTCATTGGGTCTCGAGAAGGATCTTAACCGGCTGGAGGAACGTCTGAGGCAGCAGGAGGATCATATCGAGAGGATGAGAGAATCTGAGGAAAAGTAGGTCTTAGCGGAGCGAAGGAGAATTTTTGGATTGACCATTTTCGCTGCTCGTACAGGTACTCCTTGCTGAATGCGAAGGTGCAGGAGTTGTCGATGTACGAATCTGAATATCACCGGTTGAAGATGGAGCTTGGTGAGGGTATCCTTCGCTGGGGGTGGTTGAAGGATGTTTGATACATTTTAGAGACACAACGACAGAACTTGCAGAAGACTCAAGCAGAACTAGAAGCTGCTAAGGAGGAGAGCAGCAAGTTGAAGGCACAGCTGAATGAGGTATGCAGAGTATTACGGTCGGCTGGCACCTTAGGCCTGGATTTTGCATTCGGTGATCAAAAAATTGTATGAAAATTTTGGTTACCCCTGCATTCGAGCAGAACACTACGCCCGTGACTTGGGGCTGAATTCATAGTCTATGCGGAACTGTTGGGAGGTTACCAAGTCTGTGAATGACTCACGAGGTCGATGCTGATGTTCTTTAGTGCACTGAGAGGTTCCGTCACCAGAGTGTAGCAATGAAGGCGACGGCAGCGAAGGCTGAGAGGTTTGAGAAGTTGCATGCTGAGCTTACTAAGAAGTATATACTAGGGGAGGATATGTTGAATGTGATGGTGTGTCTCCTTAGGTATGCCAATATGGAGCCGGCTGAGATTGCACAGTTGAGGGAGAATGAGCGGAAGTTGAAGGCCGAGCTGGCACAGGCCCAAGCACATGTTAAGGATAAGGTGGGGAGGAGGAGGGTGCTTATTGAAGTTCAGCAAGAGAGGGCGATGCATGTCGTAGTGATTGACAGGATGTGCTGGTGTTGGTTTTAGGATGCTAAAGTGGAGTCTCTGCAGAATGCATCCAAGGTTTTGCAAGGGAGAGTTGCTGAACTCGCGAGTCAGGTGAGAAAGTTATCAAATGCCATCGTTGGAATTCTCATCGACTCTATACGCGTGTCAATTGTTGACAGGTCCGTAATCACGAGGCGAATATGAATAGTGTGAAGCAGGAAGCTGAAAAGAAGGCCAAGAATCTTGAAGAACAGGTAAAGGTGTCGGGAATTGGTTTGATGAATGATTTCATGGATCTGAACTCAGTTATCGATGAAGATTTCGTTTGCTGAATCAAGAGCAGGGGATGCGGAAGTTGAGGGATAATCGTATCAAGGAGTTAGGGGAGGAAATGAAGAAAATGGAAGACCAACTTAAAGAAGAGGAGAAGAAGGTCAAGACGGCTGCTGCTGCAGCGACTGCCGTAACAGCAGCAGCAGACCAACAACAAGCTAAAGTAGGAGTTGAAATTACGAGCCGTGCGGTAACTTGTGTGATAGATGCACGCGACGGCATCTACTCAGACGGCAGCAGCAGCAGCAGTAGGTATGAAGGCTGCTGAAGGGGTGGCTAGTGGTAGTAGTCAACCTGTGACCAGTAGGGTGGTGAGGGATAAGAGGAACATTGAGCTGTTGCAAGGCTCAGCTAGGATACTACAGGTGAATATCTGTGCATGAGGTGTCTAGGAGGAGGAGGGGAGGTTCTTGGCGTAATTTGCCATTGGAGTGGTATGCATATTTACGGTCTTTGAAATGCGTTGAAGACTCGCGTGATTAACAATTGGGTTTTGTTTCTAGGAGTATCGAGTTCAGCTGAGCAAGGCCTTAGTAGCGTTGAGAAAGCCTGTGGAAGGATCTCAGCCGCCGACTGTTGGAGGAGGGAAACGTAAGCATCCCGGTGAGGCTGCAGAGGAAGGAGAGGGAGCTGCAGGACCGAGTAGTAAGGTCACCCGTGTGGAGCGGTCAGGAGAAGGTACCAAAGGAATGGTATGAGACTGCATATGTACGTGTCAATATAGGAGGAGGAGGTGGCTCTTCGTCGTCATCTAGCAGTGCTGCTCTAGCAACAACAGAAGTAGCGTCGACAACCACCACTACCACAGGTGAGTATATAAACCACTCGAGGCAGCAGTAGCAGTCTGCATCGTTATCTCTGTCATTTACATGCTGTTGTGCGTACGTGTGGTAGACAGACTCGTGCGCAAACGATTGGGATTAATCAGCTCTCTTTGTGGTGACTTCAGGTTCTTCGCAGCAACAACCTCCGCAGCAACAGCCTCCGAGCTCTACAGGACAGGTGGTCGAGGAAGGAGAGGATAAACCATCAGACGAGTCTTCTTCTTCCCCTTCTCCGTCCCCAAGTTCGGAGTAGAAATGTGCCACCAACAGTTTCTTGTATCGTACCGTATTGATAATGGTTCACGTATCTCGCTTTGATGTGGGTTTAGTTCAGTCTTCCACAATTCATCATTTACAATTTTTATCTCGAGATGCTCAGTATAGATGTCCTCCCACAAACCGCACGAGGGTAGGCTTGCTCCCAGAGGATGGGTGAATGCAACGCTGAAGTGCTGTCATGACTGTAGACTCCTCCACCGGTCAGTCGCTGCTTTCTATCTCTAGGAGAGGGCGTTGATCACTTTGGTAGCCGGTCGAGGCTGCGCGGTGTCGATACCTTCCGACCGTTACTGTGAAGACTCTCATTGAGGATGATAATACTGTGAGGGGACTACTTTTCATGGAGAAATTCTCGTTTTTTCCACGAAAAATGACTCTCACCGGTTTCAAACCGGTATTAATGAATCTTGATACATCTGAAGAATCAAATGCCAATAAGGAGTTGTCAATGATAGTTTTCCTCAGCTACTTACTGAGTAGATCCATGACGATCTCGCTAGTGCTGCTGAGTAGGAAGCTAGGACGCCTCCCTCTGTGTGGTGGCATTCACCTGGAGACATTATTTGACACAACATTGTGTGGAGGGGCGGCTGTCCCGTATCCTGGTTTAGATACCCTGTAAGCTGTGCAGCGACACAGTCATCGTTGAGTTGGTTTGGATGTCTCAGTAGCTGGTGTTATATGCTGTGTACAGATTAGCTGATTTAATAACATGGGAAATTTCTTGTGGGGCCCTAAGAAGATCGCATCGAAGGATTACTTCGAGGAGTTCATATTCGGCCAGAATGGAGTTCATCGTGTCATTCAGAGGTGATTCACTTTACTAAGTCTGATGTTATTGGAGTATCATTAACCAGGTCCTTCACCATTGCTGCGAATAAGAAGGTAGCCCCTGAAGAGAGGGAGAGCTTCAAGCAGTACGTTGTTGGAGTTATGAGGATGGGAGGGAGTTATGGCGTATTCGTGTTTAGGTTTATCGACATGACGGCTAAATTCTTATTGGTCCATCATCTCCAAGAGGACGAACAGATCTTCCCATTCTATAGGAAGCATCTAAAGGAGCCGAGCGCCTTGGAACAGGAGGGACATGATCATGAGGAGGTTAGCTTCGTGTTGTTAGGTCGTTGTTGATGAATCACGAGGGTTGTTGTAGGTATCGAAATTATTGGACAATTTGGAAAAGGATCTGAAAAAAAATAAGCTCGATGAGGCGCAGAAAACCTGTAAGTATACTAAACGGCGGATAAATTGAAATCATCTGGTTACTTTCGTCCTCCTCCTCCTAGGTGGCACTATAGCAGGAATGATGTGCGACCTTGTTAATGGGCATCTTGCGAGAGAGGAGAGGATACTAGT